TAATTATGATTGCCTGGCCTTGGCTTAGTTTCAAGGCAGCTTTCCTTAATTTAACTTATCCCATCTTCCTTTTGCCTCTGGGCTTTTCCCATTCTCTAACTTCTGTTAATCTTACTCTTACTCTGTGGCTTGCTGTGTAGCTGGGTAGTTGACCCCTGGAGTCCTCCTCCTTCTCTGGCTCCTAGATCTTAGATCTCCCCTAAGTTTTCTACTTCTATGTATTCTCTCTGCCTGCCAGACCCGCCTATCCTTTCTCCTGCCTTGCTATTGGCCAGTTCTTTATTAGACCAACAGGTGTTTTACACAGGCACAGTAACACAGCTTCACAGAGTTAAACAAATGCAACATAAACAAAAGTAACACACTTTAAAATAATATTCTACTACAGTTTATAGCTGAGTGATGAGTTCTTTTCTCCCCTGGTAATGTACACAGTGCTTTCCAGTACCATGAATGCTCCTCAGTAGGTGTGAAGCCTCTCATTAGGAACTAGTTCAATTTCTCCATATTTCACAATGTGTTGTACATAAGGAGATGTTCCTCTTCTTTATGTAAACATACTTTGAACTCGCAGAAATATCAGTGCAGAAATATCAGTTGTAATGGCAAGTCAACTATGTTGATCATGTTTTATTTTATTTTATTTGTTTGGGTCTTACTTTAAATTTTAATTATGTGTGCATACCTTTGTTTGAATGGAAGTATGTGCACATTTAAGTACCGGTGCTTGAAAAGTCCAGAAGACAGCGTTGGATCTCCTTGAGCCGTATTTACAGGTGGTTATGAGACACACTCTGTGCTGCTGGGAACTGCAAGAGCAGAGGACCAGAGACCTTGTAACTACTAAACCATCTTACCAGTCCCTGTTGGCTTTTATTTACTTTTACTTTTTTTTTTTTAATTTGGCTAAGTTGCCCAGACTGTCCTGAAATTCACTGTGTGGCACAGGTTAACCTTGAATTGCAGATTGTACTGCCTCAGCATTTTGGGTGCTATTATTACAAATGTATATTACTATACCTGGGTGTTACTATTGGCCACTTTAAATAAGGTAAAATAGCAATAGCTTACAAAGTCCTGGTAATTGTAAATGCTAAACAGGATTCTATCAATTAATGAATTTGTAACACAAGAAATGCACAGCTATAACATAAATACAAGAGTCACAAATTATCCCAGAGTGTATAATTTTGCCTGTGTCTTTTAGTGCTGTAATTTGTTCAATTTAAAATGCTGTGTCAAGAATACTTAGAGGCAAGGCAGAGGCAGAGCATAGCACAACAAAGAAATAATCCTGATGGTATGTTTGCAATATATAGCTTATTAAGAAAATTTATAAGAGGAAAACAGAGAAACATGAATCAACATTGACTAGCAGAGTGAGAGAGAGGTGCAGTTTACATGCAGTTTATCCCCTTTAATGCTTAGGTCAGCTGTTAGTACCACTGTCTTAGTTTCCTTTATTATTGGTATGATAAAGACTGTGGGCAAAAGCAACCAGAAGAGAAAACAGTTTCTTTGACTTCCAAGTCCATGTTACACCTCATCAGCTAGGGACGCCTGGGCAGGAATTCAAGGCAGGAACCCAGAGGAAGGAGCTGAGGCAGAAGCCTAACATTCTGACATTAGCTGTCTTAGTTAGGATTTCTATTGCTGTGAAGGGGCACCATGACTGGCAACTCTTAAAAAGGGCAACATTTAATTGGGGCTGGATTACAGTTCAGAGGTACAATACATCATCATCAAGGCAAGACATGACAGCATGCAGGCAGACATGGTGCTGGAAAATGAGCTGAGGTGCCTACATCTAGATCAGCAGGCTACAGGAAGTGGTCTGAGACACTGGGTGTAGCTTAAGCAAAGGAAACCTCAAAGTCTAACCCCACAGTGACACACTTTCTCCAACAAGGCTATACCTACTCCAACAAAACCACACCTCCTAATAGTACCATTCTGTGGTGGTATTCTAATTGTACTGAAATGTGATTTTGATTGTATGTTAATAAATAAAGTTGCCCAGGGGTCAGAGCTATTAGAGCCATAGACAGAGTGTGGTGGTGGTGGTGGTGGTGGTGGTGGTGGTGGTGGTGGTGGTGGTGGTGGTGGTGGCACACGCCTTTAATCCCATAGATCTCTGTGTGTTCAGGGATACAGCCAGCATTGGAGACATATGCCTTTAAGACCTGGGGGGCTGTACATACAGACCGTGACGAGGCAGTCACGTGTTTGGGTTTACAACCAATGAGAAGGCAGAACAAAATACTATGAAAAGATGGACAGACAGGATATAGCTCTGTTTTTTTCGGAAAGCTAGGAGCTCGCAGGAGGAAGGGTGAGATTTTAGCTCTGGGTTCTGACCTCTCGGCTTTCTCTTTTACATTGGTTCTGTGTTTCTTATTTAATAAGCTGGTTGGTTACATCTACACCATTCCCTTTGGGGTCCATTTTCTTTCAAACCCACCACATTAGCAATTACATTTATCTTCTTTTTAAAAATTTAAATACAGGGTTTCATATAGCCCAGGATGACTCCAAACTCCATATAGCAGATGACCTGGCATTCTTGATTTTACCATATCTACCTCCCAAGTGTTGGGATTATAGGCATGTTCTACTATGCCTGGCCTTTGGAAACTAAATGATTTTTGGTAGAGCCAAATACTCAAACTGTAACACAGAGGTGCTTGATGATAGGATCATTTATGATCAAAATTTTCTTTTTGTGGGGAGAGAAAGTTGAGACAAAATCTCATGAAGCCTAGATTGGACTTGAATGCCTGATGCTCTTGCCTCTACCTCTGAGTGCTAGAAATGTGTGTTCTGCCATGCCTAGCAAACTTTTAAGTTTAAAGTAGGGCAATGTAAAACAAAATGAACACACACACAAAATCCCACAACAATTTTATATTGGGTTATTGAAAGAAAATCAGAACGATAGCTTGGCTTCACTTTGACTGAAATGATTTAAAACACCATATCCATCTTCAGCCTGATAGACAGGTATGATTAGCAGGGCTAGTGATATGGTTTGATAGGTTAATGTCCTTGACTCCAAGCCTGGCAACATGAATTAGGTCCCTGGAACCCACATAGAAGAATGATTCCTATGAGTCACCCCCTGATCTCCACATGCATGCAATGTACATTTACACACACACACACACACACACACACACACACACACACATACACACAGGTACAGTCTGTCACATGCACAAAAAATAAATGTAAAAACTGCATGACTAAAAAAATAAATATAGTTATGTTTAAGTTGGGCATGGTGCTACACTGTTTTAATCCCAGCCCTAGGGAGGTGGAGATAGAAGAACCAAGAATTCAAGGTCATGCCCAACTATATATTGAGTTCAGATCTTATGAGCCCCTTTCCATCCATGATGAAATATTAATGAGCTTGGTATTGGCAAGCAGCCACTGCTGCTATGAGTTTCTAAGTTTAAGAGCTCTGTCATGTTCAGGACAGTGTTTCACATATTGTTTCCCAACCTTCACTCATATTCTTTCTGTTACCTTTTCCACAATGTTCCCTGAGCCTTAGCATCAAGGGATGATATAGATGACCCATTTAGGGCTAAGAATTTAACAGTCAGCTATTCTTAACTCTTTGACCAATTAAGAATGCTGCCCTATACAAAAAGAAGCTTGTCAGCCAAAGCTTGAGATCAGCACTAATATGTAGTTTTATTTAGAAGTTGGTTTTATATGCCTATTTAGCAAAACAGCAGGAGTAGGCACCCTCCTAGGACCTATGACTTCCCCCACCATGGAGTTTTGGCCAGCTTGACAGTACCAGGTCTAAATTCCCTCCTGTGGAGGAGCCTTTGAACCAATCAGAAGAAAGCAGTTGAGTACCCTTATAACAATCATGCCGCTATTAAACCAAGGAACACATCTTGCTTGCAGGGTGTCACAGCAGTGTAAGAGCGTTGATGATTGTTTTCCTTAGCAGACTGCATATCTCCTTCATTGAATAATTTTATCTTAATTTAATATGAATGAATTATGGAAAAAATACAGAGAGTACTTTTTTCTATTAAAATATTTTTTATGGTGTCACATGCTTTTAATCCCAGCACTTGGGAGGTGGATCTTTGAGTTCGAGACCAGCCTGACCTACAGAGCAAATTTCAGGACAGCTAGGGCTACATAGAGAAACCATACTTCAAATAAAATAAAATAAAATAAAATAAAATAAAATAAAATAAAATAAAATAAAATATTTTCACTTAACTGTTTTCATGTAAACTGGGGGCTTAGAAGTGAAAAAAAATTCAAATTCCATTACCAAAGTTCATGTTCAGCATGAATGCATTTTTAAAATTGCAAGTCAATACCTAAAGTAAAAAAGCGATTACTATCTTATTGTGAATCTATGTAATTCTGGCCAACTGAAAAAGTAAAGAACATGTAATATTTACTTATATATGACATGATATTTTTGAAAGAGCTCTATTCTTTTCAGTTATGCATAAATGTGTGTGAGTGTGTGTTTGTGATAGTGAGTGTAGACAGCCATGAAGGTCAGAAGAGGGCATCATATGTCTTGTAGTCGGAGCTACTGGTAGTTGTGAAATGCCGCATGTGGGTCCTGGGAAGTGGACTCACGTCCTCTGCAAGAGCACTACAGTGCTGTTAAGTGCTCAGTCATTTTTCCAGTCCCCCCAAAATAATTTTAATTTTCTGAAATTCAATAGATGGCTCATCATATACTTAACAAACAGAAACAAACCAAAACAGTAGCAACAATAAAACTTTTGAAAAAAAATTTAACAAATAAATATGTAAGTTAAACAGTAGTATCAAAATATGCTTAGCATTCACCTACAAGATGTGCACGTATTTTTAGTCACATATATAGAGAGCTCAGTCCCCCTGATCTACTCTAGTATACTTTCATTTCCAATTATATCTAGTCACCATGATTTAAATCTTGGGACTGAGTCCAGAATGAAACTTAACAATGATGATTATTTGTTTTACAGGCTTTAAAGAAGCTAGAGTACCAGAGAAGACCTAGGAGGTGTGCGAATCTCTGCAGCTGGGGCCAAAATGTCATTCATAGATCCTTATCAGCACATTATAGTAAGTGGTGTATTCTTTCCGGGAGGGAAGCTGATGTGTTCCGTGTGTGTGTGTGTGTGTGTGTGTGTGTGTGTGTGTGTGTGTGTGTGTGTATGTGCGCGCGTGCGCGCGCACATGTGTTTGTGTTCTGTATGTGTCTGTGCACAATATGTGTTTATATTGCTGGTGTTACTAGTAAATCTGAAACTTTAAACTATTCTTTGAATTCATGTTATATGCATGAACATAATGTTCTACACTTGGCTATGGTGCATTATAAAACAAAATCATGTCTTTTGGTTGCTGTAAATCTTCAGAAAAAAATAGATTTAGGAAAAAAGATAACCAAAATGTCTGTAACAACACCAAAATTCATGAAACAACAACAACAAAAAGTATTAGCATTTCACATTTATCAAAGAGCATAATTGCATGTGACTTTGTAGACAAAGGACAAATGAATTTCTGAGTTTAGGACTGTATATGAGAATGCATCTCCAAGGCAAACAATTCTATAAACTTTCACTTAGCTAGAAATGCTAAACAAATTCTTCTATGGCTGGCTAATCTTTAGTGAAGAGTTGACTAATTCAAATTTTATTCATTGTGATTTTCTGTATTTCACTGAAAACGTAAGTCTCTCTTTTGATTAAAAACAAACTAAATCAAAATAACAACAAAAAAAAACAAAACAAATAAGCAAACAAAAACAAAGGAGCGATTTTCTAGCTGAATTCAGCACATGGAATTCAGTTAGGTTTCAATGGACTGGAGACAGACTTTGTGAGTATTGATGAATAACCTATAGCCTATTTTTACTTATGGAAGTACTGTTTCCTTGTTCAGTCTTCCCTAGTTAGCCTTTCTTTCCCTGCCTGGATTAGAAATTGATGAATTATAGCTCTTGTAATGGCTTCTTCCTTTTTCTTCCCCCAGTACTGCATTTGTCCCTTCCTTCACAGTAACACTCAACAGTGTTTATGTCTTGTGCTAAACTCAACGGAACTCTGCCTGTTTCCCTCCCCAGCTCTGCTGGCCATTCTCTCCTTAAAATTCTCCTGAGATTTCTTTCTTTTTCATTTGTTTTCTTTCCTTTGGTTACTTCTTAATTTTCTTTTATAATTTTCTCTTCTTCTCCCTCTTCCCACCCTTTCCTCTCATTTTCCCTCCTCCTAGAGATACATTGCTAAGCTAAGCTTAATACAGCTTTACATATGTATCCCACCCAGGAAACATCATCCAAATAAAAATATCCATTATTAGTAAACCCAAAGATTGGTTTATGACTCTTATACTCCATAAATCTCTTCAAAGAAACTAGTATATCTAATGTCATAGGTATATTTTGCTTCCCCTGCTACATTTCTCTAAATATCTGGATTCAATATTATATTTTAGAAATTCATTCATGTTGTTGTGACTAGAATTCTACATGTATATATTGTCATGTATTATTTTATTAATTGAATAGATTGCAAACTATGCATTCTACTGATAACCACCATATGCATTTTGTATGGCAGTAGGGATTTGCTGTAATTTAGACAGTTATAGGTGTGGCACTTGATTTATTTATTTATTTTTTTAATTTGTATTGGTCTATTAGTCTGTGTTTGTCCCATTACTAAACTACTCTAGTTGCAAAGATTTGAAATTCATATCTATGGTCTCATAAAGCTCTTTATTTCTTCTCCAAGATGAAAGATGATTATTATTTTTACTCTTGAATAGTCACATAAATTTTGGAATCAGTTTGTCAAGTCAAGTGAACATGGGCATACACACACACACACACACACACACACACACACACACACACACACTTCCCTTCACTCCTGTAATGACTTTACAGATCAATATTAATTAAGATAGAGCTGATATGACAATACTGAGGTTATTAATCTATTAACAACCAACAAACCTCACTGAAAACAAAATTTATTCAGATCATTTTTAAAGTATTCAGTAATGTGTTGTAGTTTTCTGTAAGAATCATATATATATATATATATATATATAATATGTATATACAAGATTCTTATATATACATATGTGTGAGTATATATAATACTGGTGTATTTATGTGTATACAAATTCTTATTATGTACACATATATATTTCTTGATATTTTAGTGTTATTGTAAAGATATTTATAAACTTTATTTTTTAATTAGTTTTTGTAGTGGTTCATATGAGAATGACCCTTATAAGTTCAAATGTTTGAAAGCTTGGTCCTTAGTGTAACTGTTTAGAAAGGATCTGGAGGTGTGGCATTGTTGGAGGAGGTGTGTCACTGGGGGCGTGGAGGTGGAGGTTTCAAAAGCTCAAACCAGGCCCAAAGTCTTTCTCTCTGCCTGCTGCCTGTGAATCAGGTTGTAAATTCTCAGCACATGCGTGCCTACCACCATGCTTCCTGACTTGAGGATAATGAACTCATTCTCTGTAAGCAAACCCCATAGGGGTTATATAAGAGTTGGCTTGGTCATAGTGTCTCTTCAGAGCAATAGAACAATAACAAAAGCAGTTTTTGTCTTCATATGAAATCAAAATTGATTATTGTTCATCCAGAGACCTCACTGAATTTCTATTAATCCTTTGGACAATTTTTTAGATTTCTAGCTTAACCATTTCTGTGATTGGTGAATACTGCTAGTTTTTCTTCTTGTATTTTGATCACTGAGTATTAAATATTCTATTGTTTGAAAACCATATACCTTAGCCCCTAAGTTTTGAGTTGTTATATTTTAATATAATATTTTTAATTTTCACTGTGATTTATGCTTTGACACATAGGGCATGTAGATATGTCCTTATAAATTTTCAAACATTTGATAATTTTTTAGCTATTTTTGTACTTCAAGTGTTTAAAATATATAAGATTTTTTTTTGAGACAGAGTTTCCTTGTGTAGCCCTGGCTGTCCTAGAACTTGCTCTGTAGAGCAGAGATCTGTCTGTCTCTGCCTCCTGATACTCCATAAAATTTTTAAACAAGTTTATATGTGATTATCAGCTAGCATATTATCTATTTTGATAAATAATACACATGTAAAATATGTTTCATATCCAAATTTTGCTTTATGATATTTTGAGTTGTGTTTTTTGGCACATATAACTTTGAATATATATATATATATTATATTTATAAATATAGTATAAAAATATATATTATGATTGATTTGGTATTATATCATTAGTAAGTCCTTTTTATCTATGATAATAATTTTGTTTTAAATTTTATTTCATCTTTTATTATGGCTGCTGTCTGTTTCTTTGTTTAACATAGTCTGTATTTTTTCATATATTTAAAGCATTTATCTTTTAAAAAGCAAATAATCAACATTTTTGTGCAAAAATGCTTGTAATCTTTATTTTCTGAAACAATATTTTATTTTTCTTCATGGTTCTGTATATTAAAACAATGCTAGTTTTTTTTGGGGGGGGGTTACTTTCTACATAAGTAAGCTGCTTTTAAACCTTTAAAAAAGAAATTTATTATTTTTAATGATGTGCATGTAAACTTCAGTGCAGGTGCCCATAGGGGCAAGGGGAGTCAGAATTCCCATGAGCTGGCATTACGGGAGGTTGTGAGCTGCCAACGTGGGTCTAGGGATTGAACTCTGGTCATCTGTAAGAACCTTGTACACTCTTAACTACCAAGCCACTGTTCCAGCCCAAAAAGTATCTTATATCTTAAATATGGGTTAGTTTTTATTTCTCATTCCATCACCCTCAGAGAGATAGGTGTTTTTATATAACTCTCAGATAATGTAATCATACTGGTTGTTCTCAAACTTCCTCATAGAATCTGGCCTCTGGAACAGACAAGGAAGAAGGGAAAGCAGGGCTCTGTGTCCTTATGCTGGCCACTAGATACAGTTTGCAGCTCAAGTGTTTGCACATCTGGTTCCTTCTACCTCTAAACACACACATTACCATTCACTGGATACTGCAGTATAGCAATCCCTGTCAACAGCACTGGGGACACAAAGGCAAACCTAGCACATGTTAGCTTCTTCCCTCCCTCTTTTTAAATAGACCCCTCCTACTTTCCTGTGTGCATTTTATTAAATCCTGATTCCACACATGAGACTAAAAATACAATATTTGTCTTTGTGAATTGTAGAGATCTTTCATTTTCTTTTTCTTATTTATGTATTTATGTATTTGTTTGTTTATGTATGTATGTATGTATGTATGTATGTATGTATGTATGTGTGAGATGAGGTCTTGCTAATTAATGTAGCCTTGGCAGGCCTGGAATCTACTATATAGACTAGGCTGGCTTTGAACTCACAGAGATTTGCTTGCCTCTGACGCTGGAGTGCAGGCCTTAAATGCATGTGCATAACTCTTTTAAGTGAAGAACTATGAATTCACAGTTTTCTCCATTTTCTTGGTGCTGTGTGTATATCGTGACAACTCTGAGTGCATATGTGTAGATGAAAACATGCCTCCTTCTGGTTTTCACAGGAAATTATTTTTCTCTTAATTAATTTGGGGTCAGGGTCTTGCTATGTAACTGAGGCTGTCTCAAAGCTCACTGTGTGTCTGAAGCAAACCTTGAAAAGACACTCATCCTTTTGTCTCTGTGTGGAGATTATAGGGGTGTTCCACAATACTAGAAAGACCTTTTAAAAGTGCATCACTGAACTCTTTCAATATGGAGCATCAGTAGCTTAAAAGGGAAGAGGGAATGAAGCCAGATATCCTTTAACGAGCAGTTGGTGCCAAACAAGCCAACAGTCTGGTTGCCCTAGGACCCAGGATAGTGCTTTTAAAACCACACCTCTGTGTTGGAGAGTACTGTGGGCGGATGGGGTGTTTGCAGCCACCACGTTCTCTTGCTTTTAGTGGTGCTGGCTTATGAGATGGTAGTAGAGCAGAGAGAGATAAATGTGCAATAGAACTACCTTCCCATTAGCCTAGAGTTATTTTAAGGTGCTTTTCAATATTGAAGATATTCATGCCTTTAGAATTTCTTTTAGCCTTTTTTTTTATTATTTTGTTACAATAGAAACAT